TCCATGTATGTTCCCACGAGTAGCAAGGGAAGGGTTGGTCACCTCTAGCAGAGCCCCGCATTACCAGAGGAAGGCTAGTTACAATGAGGTTTCGCCCGGTTCCTCAAGGGGATCGTTCGTAACCGCATATAACCCTGCGGCCATTCAGCTGTCGACACGATTCCTTACATCTTAGCTTGGGTAGGCTGGTCCGCGGTGGCATGTTTTGCAGGGCTTTTGGGGGGTTTTAGTTCCCCTCACCCTACTTATTTCTGCCACTGACCAGGAGTCCGTCAACCCCGTCCGTTAGGCCCCATTGGCTTCCCGGATAGGACCTCCAGTCCCCTGGCCGTTCCCCTATCCGCCACCTGGGGACGCGCCCGATAGGTAGCCCAACCCACGGGATGTAAACAGAGTAATTGTGTGAATATTTTTTTTTTCATTAAAACCAAACTTTCGGCAGTATTATTTAATGAAAATAAATATTCAAAGTAATTGTGTGAATATTTATTTTCATTAAATAATACTGCCGAAAGTTTGGTTTTAATGAAAAGTTGCTACCTTCTCAAATTGGGGGCTTATCCACTTTTTTTGAAAGCGAAAACCTGCTAACTCATACTTTTTAGTGTAAAAATGCTAATACGATTTATTTTGTTTTTATTTATAGTTAAAAATGTTCGATAAATAATTTCTTGTCATTTCAAGACAAATGTTTTGAATTTCTGCGCAGTTGAAATGCTTTGAATCACAAAACCCATCTTTAGGAGAAAAAAATGTAACTGTTAATGAAAACTACAAACTTTGCTCTTAGAAAAACAGTACATTCATTTTATTTGAAGAAAGAAAGTCCAACTCTCGACAAAATAATGAAATCCTTGAATGAAGACCAGAGTTTGTCTCAATGATAGGCAGAAAGAAATTGTGGAAATTTTTGAAAGAATTGAATTTCAGCTGGTAAAAATAAAACAGAAAATGGCCCACAATCAAAAATGATGAAATTATTTGCTAGAGGAGACGTTACCTGTAAGGCAGATAACGGAGTTTCAACGTAAGAATAGAAAGATTTTATATTAAATGATCAATTAATTAAGTATGATCAACTTGATCTGGGATGTAATTTTTTTTGTTATAGAATTTCATTGAAATGGATTTAGAAGTATTCAATATTAAATTTGCGTTGACACACCATGACATGAATCCATCAGTAACCTGTTTGACCCCTTGTTAGTTCATCTTCATGTGTAACTCCAACTCCATAACTCCATAGTTATGTGATAATTGTCTCATCATGTTCCGAGATATCACTAGTTATTGAAATAATTATAAGCTGTGGTTTTTCTATAGTATATTTCTTCCTAGATTCATGTTGATTATTACCTAACAAATCATTTGACTCGTAAGTAATTCATTATTTCAGATACGGTAATGAAATAATTATTTTTTTCAGGGTATGGTTGTTACTTACCCTGGCAAAAAACCTTGCTCTGTCAGAGTAGATCAGTTAGACCGAAATAAAGATCAACAAATCGGAACAAACTACAAATTTCCAGAAATTGTTCACTTTGGCATTCGGCCACCACAGTTAAGCTACGCTGGCAATCCTGAGTGAGTATTTTTTTGGGTAACTCCACGAGGCAAAGATTTATATGTCAATGTTGATATATCTAAAAGTTTCTACTTTTATGAATAAAACCCCGAGAAATTATTGGTAGTTATCAAGATACATAAAAAATAAGAATAGCAGGGGTGTAGATAACATTAATGTTGAATTATTTCAAAATCTACTTTAATTGGTTTTGGTTGTTTCATCAAATCTCATTAATTCATCTTTTGAATCTGGCGAGTTCCCATCCTTTATGAAAACTTCCCTGATAATCCGTCTTTATCAATGGTGATTGAGATGCTATGTTCTTTTTACTAGTAACGGTGTTTTTTTAATATAATAGTAAGGAATCGCTGGCTGCAATTTTCTGCGACATATCAAAGGCATTCTTCTGGGTCTGAAGTTTTAATAGTATGGTTTCAGCTACATATTTATATTTCTTTAGTTCATCCTCAATTACCTTCTGACCATTTAACCACTTTGTGTTACATATCTCTATTTTCATTAATATTGTAATTGTCACATTTTTTTGCATGTTGCAAGACTTATTACCAATTGACTAATAATGATGATATGAATTTGTCTGTAAGAAATATATGAAATATTTTCGCGACAACTGCCAAGAAGGACTCCGCCATCTCTGGAAAAGCAAGTTGATCATTTCAAATGGTAAAAGCACAACTTTTGATCAAAATGAGCGTTTACATTTTGAGTCATTCATCAGTAAATATGAAGAAAGAAAGAAACGAGTGAGAAAGAAGTGTTATGCTGTTCAACAACAATAATTGACTCTAACATGGTTGTTAAATCAATGCAAGTTAACAAATGAGGTGGTCGACCGAAGTCATTGAAACAATCACATTAAATTGTTCTGATACTCTGATCAAGTACTGAATAATAAGAAAAAAATCAATAAATAAACATTGGTAATGATCAAACCCCTATGCAACTTGAATTCCTGAAGAATCTGATAAATAATGGCAAAGTGAACGTGATCATAAAATATATTAAGAACATATGTGGTATCTGGAGAGTTCGGTCCTGACTGTGACACGCTTAACAGCTAGTACGTTCATGTCCGAGTATTTCTGCTTTAAAAGTAATCTATATTAATGACATTAACCTGTGTGTGATATAATCATAGAAGCCAACTGCCTAATAATTTTGTGAGTACAAAATCATCTTCAAAATCTTTAAATAGCGGAAATCAACTATATAAAACAAGGCTTTGAATCCTTATCTCCAAAAAACCTTATCTCCGATCGCACTTCTTTTCCAAGGCAGAGCCGGCATCAGGGCAGATGCTCTTTATTTTGGGAACAAGATGATCGATGATACGACGGGTGTTTTGTCCACCCACGAACACTTTCAACTAACAACTTAACCACTGCAGAAAACTCTCCAACTAGCATGAATTCCAATGTTCATTCATACTCATCGGCAGTGAGTAAACCATCACCTATTAATTTCCCTACGAAGGACCAAGCTATCGTCTTCAATGCCATCGATAATATCAAACTACAAGAATACCTTCTTCAGTTAAGACCTATCGTTCATCCAAAAAATATTATCTTCTCATCTAGAATTTCCAACAATAGAATTTGCATTTACCTGTCTAGCAAAAACATAGTCGATAGATTTCTCAAGTTACACGGATGTATCAACATAAGCGGAGAGATTATTAGAGCCCGTAAACTGATGTCTCCTTCAGACCGATTGGTTATTTCCAATATCAGTTCTACAATTCCACATGATATTCTCATTGCTGAACTTAAGAAAATAGGTTTGACTCTAATATCACCGGTAACATTTTTAAGGATCGGAGCAACACCAACGTCAGAAGACCAAAAGTTTGTTACTCCCAAAATAACTGCCAAGAAACCTAAAAACGACAAAACAAATTATTTAATCACACCAGAAATGATGCAGTCCATAAAGGAATATATGGAACAGCAAGAAAAATCTTTTACCATCGACTCAGAACAACTTAAAGATTTATTCGAAAATGCACACTGATCAAAAGATGTCTTGAGCATTCCCATGGATTATACCGACCACCCTCAAGCATTGGTTGACATGTTACTGGAAATACATCCACATATCGAAGATAGAAACTTGAAAGGTCGATGCACTAAACTGAGGAAAAAACTACAAAAACAGATAGAATCAGATAGATATGAGCCACAGAGTGACTCATCAGATCAACTTTACTGATATCGCTGTGAAACCTTTTTTTTTCGATAACTTTCAATAAACTCCTACAATGGAACTTGAATGGATATTAAATTCATTTGAGTATGCTTGAAATATTATTATCAGAATATCCACCAGACGTTCTCTGTTTACAAGAAACGCATTTTCGTAATAATAATACCCACAACTTGAAAAATTACAAAGGATTTTTTCAGAATCGTAATACAGATATAAGAGCGAGTGGCGGAACGGCTATTTACGTTCAATCAAACAAAACAGTCAACAAAATCGATCTAAAAACAAATTTGGAAGCAACAGCGGTTACTATTCTAGCACCAGAAAAATTTTCTATATGCAACATTTACCTACCACCGAACATTGTTATAGATGAGCTAGATCTGAAAACTCTGTTAGACCAAATCCCGTCACCACGAGTTATCGTTGGAGACTTCAATGCACACAATATTGCCTGGGGGTCAGATTATTCGAACATTAGGGGACACAAACTGGAGAATACTTTCAATAATGACGACCTAGTTATTTTCAACGATGGTTCTAAAACCAGGTTTCACACGTCTACTGGAAATTCATCGGTACTCGATCTAGCAATGTGTGATCCCAACACATTGACACGCATAGAATGGGATATACTAGATGATTTATTTGGTAGCGACCACTATCCCATAATTATATCACACGACTCGAGACAAACTTCCTCAACAAGTGATGAAGTACTATCCCGAAAATGGAACATTAAAAATGCAAAATGGGATCAGTATTCAAGCTCAATTGAAAACAACATCGACAGAGTTGAGATCTCGGATGACGTAGACATAACCATTAAAAACTTCAATGACCTCATAATAGATGCTGCGAATAAGTCAATTGGAAAGAAAAAACACCTGAAAAACGTAAACCTGTACCGAGGTGGAACAAAGCATGTAGACTGCAATAAAAGCAAGCAAAACCACACTAAGGAGATATAAAAATCTTAAAACGGAGGAGAGCAAGACTGAATCCACAAATGAGCACACACAAGACTTATCACGAAAAATAGTAAAAAAGAATCTTGGAGAACCTATACACAAAACATAAATAGTAATACGCCAATGAATACAGTGTGGAAAAAGGTCAAGAGTATCTCAGGTATACATTCAAACTATGGTATAGCCGCATTAGATAAAAATGGATTAATTATCACTCAGAAAGAAGATATAGCTAGAGTATTTGCAGAACAATACAGCCAACAGTCGTCCAGTGAAAACTTTGATGAAGCATTCATCACATATAAATCTGAATAATAATAACAGACAATAAAGATCCAATAAACTCCCCAATCACTAATGAGGAATTCCATGAAGCACTGATCTAAATGAAAGATACCTTTTCAGGTCCAGATGATATACCAGCTTCCTTCTTGAGGAACTTACCAAGAGTTGCAAAGAACCTTCTCTTATGAATTATCAATATAATTTGGATCGAACGGAAATTTCCCCAAATTTGGAGACAAGCACTAATCATCCCCATTTTGAAGCCAAATAAATCAGCCTTCGAAACAAAATCCTATCGAACAATATCCATTACGTGTACAATGTGCAAATTACTCGAAAAAATAGTGAATAACCGTTTAATGTGGGTTCTTGAGAGTCAAAATCGAATCATAGCGGAACAATCGGGATTCAGATCTCACAGATCAACCTTAGATAATATAATAGACCTGGAGAGCACTATTCACGAGACTTTTGCCAACCAACAGAAATGCATGGCAGTCTATTTCGATATTAACAAAGCTTTCGAGACTGCGTGGCGTTATAATATTCTCGACAAATTGAAAAAGAAAGTTCCAAGTTCGAGTAAATGGTACATTATCACAGTGCAAAATTCAAGAAAATGGTATTCCTCAGGGCTCGATAATAAGCCCCACTCTATTTCTAATAGCACTCAGTGACGTCTTACACTCCTTGAAAAAAAAACCCTTCTGGCAAGAATATACGCAGATGATATGGTACTATTTGTCAAAGGAAAGAATATCCATAACCTAGCTAAACTGTTACAGATCCAAATAAGTTCTCTAGAAAAATGNCAGACTAGGGCTTGAACCACCGACCAACACGGCAGTCAATTCGAGTGAGTGAACAAAGCACCCACGCCGAACCGCTTGGCTACCGGTCAGCCGGTAGCCAAGCGGTTCTGCTCTGCGCATAATCGCATGAGCGTATAGGACCACGCCAGTGGAAAGCCTCTACTGTGAATTAGGAGAACCTTCCCTGAGTTTTCGCAGAACCCAGTTGAGTTTGTCATATGCTACCGCAGTTGCATCTATGATTTCCAACAAGTTACTGTCGGCCAAGAACTGATCTTCCATTTTACGATAGGATCCGACGACAAGTAAGTTCTTTACAAATGGAGTCCTTTCCAACCCCGTACCCCACAAACATCAAATCTGCACCACCATGGCTCATACAAACTCCTATCATAAATACTCTCCTATCCCAGTTTCCCAAACACGATACAAATAAGAACATCATCAAACAAGATTTTCGACAAATCCTGGACCAATTCGACCACCCTGAAGAAATATACACAGACTCATCCAAAACTCATCTTGGTGTAGGAGCTGCAGTGACTGACTATATTGCATTGACCTTCAAACTTCCAGAAACAGCAACAATACTAACTGGAGAATTATTCGCTATCCTTCAAGCTCTCCAGTACGCTAAGTCAAGTACTTCGGACACTGTCTCAATCATTTCAGACTCTCTCAGTGCCTTACAGCTCCTTCAACGAATATATATCAAACACCCCATTG